CCTTTAAAGTACATGTGCGTTTCGCTTTGTGTACGTAAAGTCGTGCGTAATGACTTGTCTGTGGACGCAGTTTGTTACTACAACTCAAATAAATAATTACCCATGTCTCAGAAGAAATAAACCAATTCCTAAATTCATTCGAAGCAGATTTAGAAGCTCATGTCCAGTACTTTTAATAATGAACATATTTATGATAAAAAATTTAAACAGTTATAATAAACAATCTATGAATTAAACCCCCAGTACTCCATGTGGTGATTCCGAATGACAGGTGATCCCGGCTTAATGGATGACCACACCAATCTGATCAGAGCTAACCTAAACAGTCCACATCTGTTAAAAACTCAGTGAGTGAGTGAGTTGGGTTTAACGCCGCTTTTAACAGTATTTCAGTTATATCGCGGCGTGTCAGCTTAATGTGGGAGGAAAGCCCGAAGTGATGCAGGTCTCAGACGTTTACCACTTCGGTGAAACCCACGAGCACAGGTATGGTGCTGACAAACCTAGAAACATAATCGGGGCGAACCGGATTCGAACCCACAATCATAGGTTTCTGGCGTGCCCAAGGGACGCAACTCTGCACAGCGAATCGCGGCGCCTTAGACGACTGGTAAAAACTCAGAATAAGACGAAGGGCCGAGGTTCGATTTCAGTAAATTCAATTACTGGCAGGGCATGTTACCCTCTGTATGCATCACTGGTCAACGTTTTGTCTTCCAGGATAACATTGCTCACCGTTGTTTGATTGTCACTAGTATTAAGTGAGTGAGTTGGGTTTAACGCCGCTTTGAACAGTATTACAGTTATATCGCGGCGTGTCAGCTGAATTTGGGAGGAAAGTTGGAAGTAATGCAGTTCTCAGACGTTTACCACTTCGGTGAAACCGACGAGCCCGGGTATGGTGCTGACAAACCTAGAAACATAATCGGGGTGAACCGGGATTCGAAAACACAATCATAGGTTCTGGCATGCCTAAGCGACGCAACTCTGCACAGCGAATCGCGGCGCCTTAGACGACTGGGCCACCCATGACCCCCACTTGCATTAAAAGAACACAGTAACCAAGAAAACACGTGTAGGACATACTCGGAAGACACCTTCAACTGTTTTTCCCCTTGTGTTTCCCCAAGAACTCGTTGAAGTACCGATCAAGTCTTTCATTGTTATGATCCACTAATTACCAATATATCTGCATATATTTCACATCTATTGTCATTCCTGTACATCGACTACTTTTATCAATAGCATGTATAGTATACAGTAAACTACGGTTATAACGAACACACTTATAACGAACTGACGGATATAACGAACTTACTTTTTTGGTCCCGACTATTTGCTGTAGTTATGATGTATAAATGCTAACAACGAATTACGGTTATAACGAACTTAAATTAGTAGTTCCTTTGAGTTCGTTATAACCGTAGTTTACTGTATAATGAATTCGGCTCTGGTAAATATCTAATCATTTATCAAACACATATATCATCATGTTTGTTTTCTAATACTGGATATTAAAGGGAGTCTAATTTGATTTGAATACATTCATTTCTGTCCTCTCACGGATTTGAATATGTTTTGTTACAGAAGATTTGGTTTCGCACATACTAGCAAGAAATGTTCCGAATGGGTTCTTAAGTTATAATGGGAAATAAAAATATTTTCAGACATTAATTGAGATATTGTTATTCAACTTTTGAAAGTAACCGCTTCTTGTTGAGAGATAGAGGATTCGAAATTTATGCACATAGTAGGGGTGTAAGAGGTAGTATAGTGATTAAAGCGTTTGCTCATCACGCACAGATTCGATTCCCCATGTGGCTTTAATGCGAAACCCATTTCTCTTGACACCCGCAAGGATATTGCTGGAATATTGCGAAAAGCGGCGTAAAACCACACACACTCACTCATATACTCACTCACTAACCCATCCATCTACATGATGTTTAAATGTAATACATCTTACATGTTGCCGCTTTTATTTATCTGATAAAATGTAATTTTGATAGACATAGGTTTCGGATGCATACATCCTTATGAGAGACGGGTGTAAGCACACGAGAAACTGATTACGTAATTTGTTCATATATGAATATAAAATATAGCTGATGAACTTCCCTTAACAAGTTTGGTTGCTTTGATGTAAAGTAAGAGAATCTCGATCGTAATTCAACTAAGGGTTCCTGCGATGGGTTATGCAGAATAAATTATGCAAAAATTCGTTTTTGCAACATACCAATGGTCACTTCTTGGTCACTGGGGCGTTGACAAGTCCATACTCGTGTCCAGTCACATTAAACCTAATGAGTGACGGTAGAGGAGAGCCGCTGTCTGACGACGGGCGTCCATGCCATGTTTGCCACTAATGACCATGAGCAAGATTAACTGTAATCCTAACAGGCCATCATTTTCATACTGGTAACTGAACATCATAAGAATTGAAATGAAACGAGTTGAATTTTAACAGGGATGTCCTCGTTTTGAGTGTTTTGTCAGAGAGTGATTGATGCAATAGTTTGGAAATGTGAATCTAGGATCTAACTAATAATGGTTTCTCAGTTTGGTATTTCATAATAGGATATATCAGTGTTGTATATAAGGGTTGAAGTTTTAGCTGTAGAAGTACACTTACACTGTAAGCTTGAACAAGACAACAAGGTCGTCAATGATGAAGGTAAGGAACTTGTTTTCGGATCATAATACACTAGCCATGTTATTGTAGTATACTCACATTTATACTTATCTTTATTATGCATTTTTTATATCAAACAATCGTTGTTGAATTAAAATAGAGAATTTAGCATGTTTATTGTTTACTTTAATCGTCATGTACTGATATGCGTAATATGTAATGTAAAATGACCAGATCAGGTAATCCAATAAGGTCATATAAATATCATGATTATTGTTTCCTCTTAACCGCGAGACCGCTTCCGTGGTCTAGTGGAAATGCGTCTGCCAGGAGAGCTGAAGGTCTGGGGTTCGTTCCCCGGGCGCGTCATACCAAAAGACGTTAACAGATGGAACTTGTTGTTTTCCTGCCTGACGCCCGGCAAGGACTGGTCGGATCGGAGTCAGTATACTGAGTAGGGTGTTCATGTTAAATTGCGGCATGGTACCTCAGTGGGCTAACACTATTAAATCGGACTATTACTCCGGACTATAGCTAGTACAAGCATGCAGGCACGCACGCACGCACGCTCGCACGCACACATGTACGTCGCTATATAAGTGCAATTATCTCGAACGCCATGTTAAGCCCCATTTCACCTCACCACCTCTTAACCGCGATCTCTTTCCTCTCAAAACCAGTTTCGTTGTTTTGATGTTTTACAATATCGCTATTTAACTGCCTGCTTTGATGAAATATACAGGAAACAAATTTATTGGAATTTCCATGTTCTAGCGCTTGATTGGTTATAGTTTACCATATAAGCATAATGTTAGAGGGGTGGGTTCCGAAGGATTGTATATTTTGATAAGATTCAAATACAATTCTTAACCAGAACATTTATGTTTGCACAAGAACCACTTTCATTGTATGTCTAAGCATATATTCCCTTATATTTTAAAATCAACTTTGCATTTTCTGAAAGCGTTATTTTTTGGATGAACAATTGTTTGTCGTTCAGGTCCAAGTCCTCCTCGCAGTATTGGCACTGACCCATTGTACAGCTGGTCAGTCATACCCATCCCCTGCGCCGTCTGTACCACACATGGATCCTGGTTCTCACGGAACCAATGCTGCTTATACAGGCGTTGCCAGGACAGACACCTTCCACAACAGCGGCAGCTCATCCTACTCCAACAGCGGCAGCTCCAGCTACAGCTCCTACAGCCACAACAGCAACAGCAACTGCCCGCAACAAACTGACTTCTCTGCTGACCTACAGCTGTCTAACGATCCAACTGGCTATCCAACGTAAGTTTGGCTGAGGGTGGGATTGGGTAAGATGGCGAATCACAAAGCCACGACTTCAAGTGAAAATGTTTGATTATAACCAAATGAAAATCATTGTACTAACTGATACAGGAAGTTAAGGTTCTTGGATGTGAGTACAGTAAACTACGGTTATAACGAACTCAAAGGGACCACTAATCTTAATTCGTTATAACCGTAGTTCGTTTTAAGCATATATACAGCATATATGAAACAAATGGCAGGGACTAAAAAATATGTTCGTTATATCTGTCAGTTCTTTATAAGCGTGTTCGTTATAAACGTAGTTTACTGTACATTTATTTGTTGAAACAGTTGTTTTATTAGATCACCGTATATGTTTCATGATCTATAAAGGACATCTCAGTCTAATTATATACCTGTAAGCTTATGTGAGTATTTGTTCATGGTGGAAATATTCACACCAGCATGTCAGTGAGCAATCACCTTGTTATATATTGACTCAAGAAGTACACATTGACATGACAAAGATCTTATTCGTGCATATAATTCACTAAAACAATGTCTCATGTCATTTACAGAGACGCTATCAATACTGAACTGACTGCAAGGCAGGACCTGTTGAACTGTCTGGCTAGAGAAGTCGTCCTGCCTACAGCCCCCCAGGTCCCTACAGATCCAATGTGAGTACAGCCAAGCGTAAAATCTTATATGGTTTTCCATCATCAACTAAGTGTCTCTATGTTACCACAGCTGTTGGTCATTCAGAAAAGCAAGTCAGAGCGACTGATGGACTTGGACTTGGATTGCTTTATTGATAGTTTGTTTTGGGTGATTTACTACATCAGATATCAATTCGGAATATGATATTTAGCTTTATGATATATTCATGTGACTTAAACATGTTCATAGGTTGGTGTGTATAATATGTCATCACTGTCCTGACATGTTTTTGGCCTATAAACCCGGAAGGAACCTAGAAACCTTACTCTAAACGTATATGTTTCCTTATTCAGACTGAAGCATATTGTATACCATTATGTACAGTCATGTGTATATCTCGTTTGAAGTGGATCGGCGAAACATATATTTGTACATTAGCATTGTATGGAAGGAGATAGACAACTGAATCTGGAACTGCTGCAGAACATGAATTTACATGCTTGATTACAGGATCGCTCAAGCCCAGGACACATGCCCTTCAATAAAACCAGAACTATGGAGTTTTGTCCGATACACCGGAAAATGCTGGATTATCAGGAATGTCCAGGAGGTGCTCAACTTTACCATTTGCGGGTAAGAGACCATGTGGCGGTCCGTCAGTTGTTTGATTTTGATGATAGTACTACTACTACTACTACTACTACTACTACTACTACTACTACTACTACTACTACTACTACTACCACTACTACTACTACTACTACTACTACTACGACGACGACGACGACAACTACTACTACTTAGAATGTATGCAATACTACTTAGGATCTATGCAATACTTATGTTTTCTTTTATCGTGTTGTAGAGTTATACAGTGAATGTATTTTAGTATTTTAGTAGAGTTTGGTTTAACGATATCATTCAGTTTTAGTTCATCTCTGTTAACAATCTTTGAATTTTATTGGTTAAACAGACGGAACACAGTACAGTTTGTACTGTATACATGTAGCAAAATGGATGGTTTGAGGTAAAACCAAAAACAGCCAAGGTCTAAAGAGTTCAATCCTTTGATTCCAGATTTACGCATTGTCAGTCGTGTAACGACTTCTTCTCCGCCAGTAGTGGCACCAGCAAGAAATGTGTCCGCGAGTTCCAGTACTTCTCCGTGTGGGCTTTTTGTGAAGGTCTCCCTGCACAGAACCAGATCTCTAGGGAAAGGATCATCCTGCCAGTGTCTTGCAGCTGTAAGACCGTCCACTGCTACGCCAACGATTGGTGGTGGAGGAGATAGACCCAAAGTGTATAGCTCAGTGTATTATATTTGTCCAATTCATATAGTCGGTAGTTTTAGTTTCGAATATTTTGTGAACTATTTTCTGTGAAACATTTTCATATATAATATACAAAATGTCATGTCATAAATAAAGAATTGTTAATAAGCACATCATTGTTTGGTGTCTCCTGTTATTGAGTGAGTGAGTGAGTGAGTGAGTGGGTGATTGATTGATTGATTGATTGATTGATTGATTAAGTGAGTGAGTGAGTGAGTGAGTGAGTGAGTGAGTGAGTGAGTGAGTGAGTGAGTGAGTGAGTGAGTTACACTATATCGCGACGTGTTAGATTAATGTACAAGGCAAGTCCAAAGTGACTCATCATAGCCCCGGCAATCTAGGCCATTTTTGAACTCAACTTGGAACAAATTGCAACAGAATTTATTTCACCACATTTTTACAAGGTCCCGGAAACAACATACTAAAAGTCCCAAGCAATCCCAGTTTGGGAAATATGTCTAATTTGCATAATCCAATATTCAATGTATCTTCCATATTCAAACGCGGTTCAATGTTTTAATGGTAAGGTGAGGTGAAATGGGGTCGTCCAAGAGTATTTCACTTATATGGCGACGTGCATGCACGTGTGTGTGGGTGTGGCTGCTTGTTCTAGTCCGGACTGATGCCGATTTATAGTGCCAGCACACTGAGATACCATGCCGCAGTTTAACATGAATACCCAACTCATACACAGTATACTGACTCCGAGCCGACCAGTCCTTGTTTTAGCCCCTTAATGCCGAGCGCCAGACAGGGTAACAACAAGTACCATCTTTTAACGTCTTTTGGTATGACGCGGCCGGAGGTCGAACCCCGGACCTTCCGATCTACCACTAGACACGGAGGCGGTCAATGTTTTAATGAAAAAAGCATGTGTTGTATCAGTGATATTAACCAAACAGGTGAAACCCACGAACATGGGTATAGTGCTGACAATTTTGTTTTTATCATTATTAGGGTCATCATGTGAGCAGCGATATATATTTTTAGCTAAGGGTCGCAACCCTGTACAGGGAATTGCGGTATCTCAGACCGTTGGCCTCAAGTGCCCTCCTTATAATTACTTTATAAATGGAAATAGTATAACCTATATGTGAAGTGAAATGGGGTTTAACGTCGCGTTTAAGATAACTGCACTAATATAGCGAGCAATAATCTTAAGCTTGGACGCGACGTTGAACCCAATTTCACCTCACCTCACCTCGGGGCTACGATATATCTAAACATACCGAAGAGTTCATTTAGTTTATGCAATCCACACTCTTTTCACGATTACGTATTGTGGTAAGACATATAAGTTTATTAAACATTGGTTAGATACTTTTGATTAATTAACGCTTACTTTTTTTTCTTTGTAAATTCGCCATTCTCGAAAGTTGACGAACACGCTGTATTTTATACTGTCGTTGAGCAGGAAGAGTAGAAATTCACATCCTTTTAGGGCATAATAGTACTTAATTAGAGTGGATTTCTGTATCAACTATGTCATATCATTTCTTTCACGTTTTCTCTTACATCGCTTGTTAGCTTGGTGATAGACAGTGCCGCATCTTACTTGAACATGTTCATGTCAGCTTTAACAATATTAATACATTTGTTGTTGACAATATGTTTGAGAGAAAGAGGGAATGCCTGTACCGCGCCACGGGTTGGTGTCTTTAACATGTATCCGGATTGACAGATTGCTTCATGGAATGTCTTGGCGATGCGCACAGGGGTACTGTAAAAACAAACAAACGATTGAACACATAGCTCCACTTTCTAGTTTTCAAGTGATTTACTCCGAATTAATAATATGTAGGTATGATCGCCGATAATGAAATAATTAGCCAATAACACTTTGGCCCGTATTGGCCCGGCCCGGCCCGGCCCGACTTTAAGGCAATGCCACGATTGAACAGTTGGTTTTACCCCTGATTTTCGGGAGCAGTTTATCATTTAGGGTCGAGCGTTGCACTTGTTGAATGCGTATCAACCTACCTGAACCCGATGTATGTACAATAACTGTTCAATGACAATACATACTTGACAACCTTTTTGAAATCCTTCCTTTGCTTTTATGCATTATATGATGTGACGATGTATTGCGAATGAGTGAGTGAGTTTGAACAGCAGCTCAAGTGCATCACGGTTCGTCAGCTTGATGTGGGAGGAAAGCCCAAAGTAATGAAGATCATTGATGATCACCACTGTAGTGGAACGCACGGGTATGTTGCTGACTAACCTGCACATAACCAGAGCGAATCTGGTACTCGAACTCACGGACATCGGTTTCTGGCACCCTCTTGGCCTGGAGGGACAGGTCTGCACAGCGCATTGCGACCCCTGAAACGACTGGGCTACCAAGCCTCTCAACAGATATCTGTACATCCTCTATACTATAAATACTATTTGATATACATGCTTCTGGTATGATCGGAATCGTACAATGCACTCAGCTGTCAACAGAATCTTCTCATGATGATTAAGGAGACTGGTTTGCCACTTTCATTTGGTGGCTATTGGGCCCAAGGTCCACGTCACTGTAGTCATTTTAATGTCCGCCAAGGAGTCCTAGCCCTAGTTCCAATATGCCAGGAATGAATAAAATGGAGAGGCCATCGTAAGCTAGGAACCTTTATCTCAGGACACTAGTTACTGTGGACACGTTTACACCGGGTCCCTGCGGACTGTTGATGGGGTGTTATGCAGTACCCATTTCAAACCTTCACATTCACTACGGGCCAAACATACGTATTGCTAGTATTCGTTCTGTCACAGTAGATGAGCAGTAGTGATAACACAACGGGAAGTACACACATTGCGGATGGTAAGGGTCTATTTCCTGTTCGTGCTGGATCGTGATCTAAATTGGGATAAGCATATTGTGTTGTCAAGGGTATTTCAATTTGTCTCGGACATATAAATTAATAATGTATACTTCCTGGTTGTATTCACTGACATGTGATTTGACATCTAACATTTTGTACACAATGACCCAAGGCGGGCACATGGTCTCCGAAATAATGTCATGTATAGGTTTAAGTTACTCATTGTTCTACAACGGAAACCATGAGTATTAAAGGAACAAGACGCTTTACTTCAACAGTGAGTGAGAGAGGAATGGGGGTGAATACATATGCTCTGTGGTCTGTAAGAGTGCCACGATACGCCCAGGCTTGGTTGTATTGTTTCTTTTTCTTATCCATGAGGGTTCATGTTTTTCATGGCCAGGAAGTTTTATGACGTCTTAATTGTAACTAAAGCAATCGCTGTGCACATTTGCGTGCCAGAATTATCTCGTGGTTGGTTCGATTCCCATATTCGTCATGAGTATGGTTCTTGGTTTGTCAGCACCATACACATACTGGCGGGTTCCATCAATGAGTCTAATACTACAAGCTGCATTACATCAAGCTGACACACATAGAGAGAATAGTGACAGAAAGAGGGCGAGAGAAAAACTTAAGCTATGATAAATTATGCCCTACCCTTTACATGAGATATCTTAAAACGAAAGCAAATGTATATATATATATATATATATCTTAAAACGAAAGCATATATATATAGAAATAGAGAGAGAGAGAGAGAGAGAGAGAGAGAGAGAGAGAGAGAGAGAGAGAGAGAGAGAGAGCGACAGAGACAATAGAGAGAATAGTGACAGAAAGAGGGCGAGAGACATAAGTAGCAAGATTGAAATATACAAGGAAGTACTCGGGCAGAGATAAATATGTATATAAATATATCTCTCATCTGAAAGAACATCACCCATCAGCTGTAGGTTGACTGTGAATGCCAGGGATAACATTACAGTCTATTCCAAGATGGGGACGGCTTGGTTCATGTCTGTCAGTGTGGTGTTCCTTCTTTTTATTGGACAGTGTCATGGTGTTACAGGTAAGTCATTGTGTCCGCTCATAACAGAAACATCATTTTAGTGATTAGCATGACTGTCGGCATCTCCAATAGCAAGCATACCGTGTTGCTTAAAAATTCCTCAAACAAACGGTCATTGGTACTAGTATCACGATGATTATGATGATGATGATGATGATGATTATGTAAGGAATAAGTAATCTCATAAAGGGATGAAAGCAGGTTTTTTAGATTCACCTAGCTGGAGGTTCAGATTGATGCATCTCCATATCTATATACTAGTAAATATGGAGATTCAGCTAAGCTGTAAACAAAATGCTTGCTGTTGTGATAACCCCCTGTTGACGTAATAAGCGCCCAGGGCGCTCTCAAAATTAGACATAGGGGGCTCTTATTAGAATATTACTTTGGTGGAAAAAACAGAGTTGAAAGATAAATTTCGTGGTTTATGCTGACAGGCTGAAATGTTATATACGACACATATATCTTTCCAGAATTTAATTGCCCATAATTAAGGGTGCATATAACATACGAGTGCGTATTATACGCGAATAAATAAGTCTTGTGTACATTGATCAATCGGAAGGGGTGCTAATTGGGATTGTTCACTAGCCAATATATTAGCAAATATCACTGTGGGCGCTTCTTAGAGCGGGGTGCTTATTACGTCGAATACGGTATTTTTTATTCAATATAACATGTCATTTTCCCAGGATGAAGGAGGAAAGGGCTGTGTCGCTGTTATTTCATACCCCAAAAATAATGTTCAGAATGAAGGGGGAAACAGAACACTGAGGAGCTATGACACAGTGTAGAGACGAAGAATTTGAAGTAAATGCCCCCTCATAACGTAGAATTTATAGAATACTAAACTTTACTCCCGTATAGTACCAACTTTATGAAACGAGTGAATAGTTCTCTTATCTGACGAGGGAAATAAGTCAGATACCGGAACAGTTCACGAGTTTAATAAAATTGTTATTGCGCGGGAGCGAGTTTAGTATTTTATTTATTACTTGGGCGGGTGAAGCATAATTTGTGAAATTCTGTTGCTTGATACACAGGCGAAACATTGCCATGTGACGTCAGCCTAACAACAGGGTTGCTGGGGTCATCGAGTGTACATAAGCTCCTCTCGGTGATCTGTAACCTCTACACGCAAGGTCATTAAATAAGCCCAGGGATGTTGAGAGTTTTCAATAGATGTCAACAAAACTATTTCCGGCAGTACATAAGCACGCGCTTTGGCATTATCCCGAGCTGCCCCAATGTTTGGCTAATCAAAAAGTGTAATTTCTCAACTGTTTGGCACGTAGAGACAACTGGATGCTGTGGCGTGGCAGGCCTAAAAACGTCACCTAGACAAAATCGTCTCTTACCATTATTTGCACCACGCAATAGATTCAAATCTGCCCCTGTTATCAATAGAGAATTCCGTATAAGAACGGAGAAGCAAATTTCAACATCTACCGTTAAAAACCGGCTCTATGCAGCCCGCCCGAAAGCAAGACGCGTGACCCTTACAGCTTACCATATGCGGCAACGATTTGGGTAGGCTAGGCAACACCAGGGACGGGCTGTGCACCAATGGCGTGTCCATGTTAACAAATGAATCAAGGCTTTGCCGGCGATTCACAGATGGCAGAAAATGTTGTTGGCGACGTAGCGGCGAGCAGTATGCCAGAGCAACAAGTCTTGATCGTGATCGGTATGAGGGTGGTAGTGTCATGGTGTGGGGCGGTATCACATATGAACTGGTTATGGAATGAACACTTGACTGGCCAGCGATTACGTTGACGAACCCCCGTGAAGATTCCGGGGTTGAATAGGTCATCAACAACCCATGCTTGCCGTAAAAGGCGACTATGCTTGTCGTAAGAGGCGACTACATGTAACTGGATCGGGTGGTCAGGCTCGCTGACTTGGTTGATGCATGTCATCGATCCCAATTGCGTGGATCGATGCTCATGATATTAATCACTCGATTGTCTGGTCCAGACTCGAATATTTACATACCGCCGTCATATAGCTGGAATATTGCTGAGTGCGGCGTAAAACAACAAACCAACCAACAACCAAAGTTGATGAAATGTCGCGTCCTGTCATCGTTCCATGCGCTGGAATTATCGGCAGAAATGTTGAACTGAAAGATGGCAATGCCAGACCACATCGTGCCCAACGTGTCCCAGCTTGGGGTAACTCTTCAGGAGGATTGACAGGCAATATTAGGCAACCGTACACAACTCTATCACCAGTATGCCATCACGTGAGGTGGTGAAATGGGGTTTAACGTCGCGTCCATGTACGTGTGTGTATTTGTGTGACTGCCTGTACTAGTCCGGACTGATGCCGATTTATAGTGCTAGCTCACTGAGATACCATGCCGCAGTTTAACATGAATACCCAACTCAGACACAGTATACTGACTCCGAGCCGACCAGTCCTTGTTTTAGCCCCTTAATGCCGAGCGCCAGACAGGGTAACAACAAGTACCATATTTTAACTGTGCGTGTGTGCGTGTATTGATTCGTCAGTGAAACACGTCGTTTGTGGCCATCCTGTTTGATCAGAAGGATCCCAATGTCGTCATGTCAGGTGATCCCTGAGCACTGCGAATTCCCAGTCAAAATGAAAGATACAAAACGTCAACGCCAAGGAATAATATGTAAGCATGTCCTGTTCTATCGGAAACTCCAAAAAATCCAAAAAGTTTCACATTAAATAACTAAATGTTTGTTTGTGATTTAACGCCACATCCAGCAATATTTTAGCTTAATGACAGCCAGTTAAAAATCAAATCTGGACAAGACAATCCAGTGATTGATGTCATGACCAACGAGCCACGCCGTCGGAATACGATGCCACGATAGGAACCAAGTCACCGAGCCTGACCACCAGAAACATTAATGCGTGGGTTGCTGAGACAATAATTTGACACGCCGTGATATAACTGGAATACTGTTAACCAAACTCACTCACTCACTAGAATTCAGGCGACTCTCAGAAACTTACGACTGGCGTTGCGCTACAGTACGATCGCCCTGTAGAACGCGACCCTGCACTACAAAGTTTACAATCAGGTCACAATAACCTATGACGTAATTTGTGGAATTTTGTCAGCGAAACTACAAATGTATGCCTAGTGTTGCTTGGGTCATCGAGAGTGCATAAGCTCCTCTAAGTAATCTATCAGCTCCACACGCAATGTCGTTGAAAAAGCCAAGGGATGTTGAGAGCTTTCCATATTTGTTCGTGAAACGTGTTCCCGTAGTAGATAAGCAGGCGCTTTGGTATTAGACAATGTGTAATACAGCTGTATGTTTATTAAACGGGTGACCTCGTCACGGGCAAATAATAAATTATAATAATCCGCCACTTACATCATTACAGATATACCGACCATTGCTGGACTCCCGTCGATATACAAAGTGAAAGAAGAGTCTAGACTCAGGATAGACTGCAGTGCTTACACAGCACCAGGCAACCCTTCCACAACAAGGTACAAGTGGACGTACAGTGGTTCTACTGTCAGTACAGGGCCAATAGTTGACAGAAGCAGCATCAGAAGGAGTCAGGGGGGACAGTATACCTGTACTGCCAGCAACACAGAGGGTTCAGCATCTTCATCAGTCACTGTGGATATACAGTGTAAGTAAAGGTTGTAAACAAATTTGTTTCAATAAATATTATCTCGTTCTTCATTAGCAACACTGACTCATTTATTATACTAAGTACAATATTCCGCGATTATATAACAGATGCACCTACCATTGCTGCACTTCCGTCAATATTCAAAGTGAGCGAAACGTCTCATCTAAAGATAGACTGTAGTACTTACACAACACTGGGCAACCCTTCCACAACAAGCTACGGATGGACGTACGGTGGTTCTACTGTCAGTACCGGAGCAGTACTTGATAGAAGCAGCATCAGAAAGAGTCAGGCAGGACTGTACACCTGTACTGCCAGCAACACCCTGACACCAAGTGGAACGTCTCAACAACAAGGGAGAACATCAGCACAGGTTAATGTGGATGTCCAGTGTGAGTAGCTTGTGATTCGTATATGCATTGTTGCTTCATTTGTATATATATGTATTCATGTACTGTGGACTAAAACAAAACAGTACGAAGTATAGAATAGAAACCTGATTTCAAAGGCTGAGTTATATTCGAATGGATGTTTAAACTTAAATACATGCAGTTGATGGTTAACAAGTCCTTCATAAACTAAACTTCAAACAGCGCCAATCTACCCACCATGTTACAAGCAGCCCGACTTTCCCATCGGTTACTTAACTTCGATCCAATAGGCAACACTACTAGAAATGTTTCATGGGGTTGGGGTTAGGGTTGGGGATGATGTGTGGTGTGGTGTGGTGTGGTGTGGTGTGGTGTGGTGTGTGTGTGTGTGTGTCTGTGTGTGCGTGCGTGTGTGCGTGTGTGCGTGTGTTGATTCGTCAGTGAAACAAGTCGTGTTGTGGCCAACCTGTTTGATCAGAAGGCTCCCAATGTCGTCATGTCAGGTGAACCCTGAGCACTGCGAATTCCCAGACAAAATGAAAGATACAAAACGTCAACGCCAAGGAATAATATGTAAGCATGTCCTGTTCTATCGGAAACTCCAAAAAATCCAAAAAGTTTCATATTAAATAACTAAATGGTTGTTTGTGATTTAACGCCACATCAAGCAATATTTTAGCTTAATGACAGCCAGTTAAAAATCAAGTCTGGACAAGACAATCCAGTGATTGTTGTCATGACCAACGAGCCACGCCGTCGGAATACGATGCCACGATAGGAACCAAGTCATCGAGCCTGACCACCAGAAACATTAATGCGTGGGTTGCTGAGACAATAATTTGTCAGCTATTGAAAAACGATCCAGCTTCATTTATTTAGCACCTTTCTTCCGAATTATGTGTATCTTATTCAAAGAAGTTCGAAACAGAACACATCTGTTGCCTCGATAGTAATCCCGTTTGGTTGTATATGTCACAGCGCTAAGAAACGACAAGGTATACTATTAATCCACCTGTAGATATCGCGGCCTATATTATTCTCCTTTCGAAATTGTCCCTTCATGCTCGTTTCAACATGAGATGTACTGCTCCCAATGCTTCGCTCGCCCGTACCGAGGATTTAGAACCCTCCACGATGACAGTGTCACCATACGCGACACCAGAGGGACGGTGTATCAGATATTGGCTAAGAGAGGTATTGAATTGGAGGAAAAGATGAGCTTACAACACAAGTGAACTAGTTAGTTAGTTAGTTATTGAGATGCATTATTCCTCAAGGACTTCATCGTTGTAAATATGTTCCTGGAATATCATTTGTCATAAAATAAACATTACTAACGAAAATAAGAACAGTTATAAAAGAAGCAAAACCCTTTCCAAATTCATCAGAAATCTCTACCAAAAGCAGAGTCGATTGTACGATTCCGACTATATCACGAGCATGTGTATATGAATCACTATCAAATTGCATATGCATATACCAGGTGTTTTGGAAAAGGTGAGCGTATCCCGCCCCACAGGTGGCAATCGTTACAAACACATGCAGAGGCAAGTCAATTGTTCGCCAGAAGAAACGCGGGCAAATAGGGTAAAATTCAAAATAGGGAATTGCATCGGACATAATGTTTCTCATGTCAAACATAAATCAATGTAAGAAACTTTTGTAAGGAAATTTGTTTCTATAAATAGTATCTCGTTCTTCATCAGCAAGACAAACTCATACAATATGTATAGCATACAAAACGAGCTCCCGTGTACTATCAATTTTATGAAACGAGTTAATAGTTCTGGTATCTGACGAGCGAAATTACGTTGATACAAGAACTATCTACGAGTTTAATAAAATTGGTATCACACGGGAGCGAGTTTAGTATTATATTTATTACTGGCCATTCATACCTTTTTTTAGAATTGTACTGTCGTGTGTGAATAGATAGACACTTATAGGATCCACAGCATTATCCAATTGAGTTGAACACAATAATACTTAAAACATGTCCAAAGTTATTAATTTAATACAATACATCGACCCACCTTTAGAATTCAGGGGAGCACGGGTGGCTCAAGTCGTCTAAGGCGCCGCGATTCGCTGTGCAGAGTTGCGTCCCTTGGGCACGCCAGAAATCTATAATTGTGGGTTCGAATCCCGATTCGCCCCGATTATGTTTCGAGGTTTGTCAGCACCATACCTGTGCTCGTGGGTTTCACCGAATTGTTAAACGTCTGAGACCTGTATCACTTCGGGCTTTCCTCCCACATTAAGCTGACACGCCGTGATATAACTTGAATACTGTTAACCAAACTCACTCACTCACTAGAATTCAGGCGACTTTCAGAAACTTAAGACTGACGTTGCGCTACACTAAGATCGCCTTGTGGAACGCGACCCTGCACCACAAAGTTTACAATCAGGTCACAATTACCTATGACGTAATTTGTGGAATTTTGTCAGCGAAACTATGTCTAGTGTTGCTTGGGTCATCGAGAGTGCATAAGCTCCTCTAAGTGATCTATCATCTCCACACGCAATGTCGTTGAAAAAGCCAAGGGATGTTGAGAGCTTTCCATATTTGTTCGTGAAACGTGTTCCCGTAGTACATAAGCAGGCGCTTTGGTATTAGACAATGTGTAATACAGCTGTATGTTTATTAAACGGGTGATCTCGTCACGGGCAAATAATAAATTATAATAGTCCGCCACATACATCATTACAGATAGACCGACCATTGCTGGACTCCCGTCGATATACAAAGTGAAAGAAGAGTCTAGACTCAGGATAGACTGCAGTGCTTACACAGCACCAGGCAACCCTTCCACAACAAGGTACAAGTGGACGAACGGTGGTTCTACTGTCAGTACAAGGCCCATAGTTGACAGAAGCAGCATCAGAAGGAGTCAGGGGGGACAGTATACCTGTACTGCCAGCAACACAGAGGGTTCAGCATCTTCATCAGTCACTGTGGATATACAGTGTAAGTAAAGGTTGTAAACAAATTTGTTTCAATAAATATTATCTCGTTCTTCATTAGCAACACTGTTGCTTCATTTGTATATATATGTATTCATGTACTGTGGACTAAAACAAAACAGTACGAAGTATAGAATAGAAACCTGATTTCAAAGGCTGAGTTATATTCGAATGGATGTTTAAACTTAAATACATGCAGTTGATGGTTAACAAGTCCTTCATAAACTAAACTTCAAACAGCGCCAATCTACCCACCATGTTACAAGCAGCCCGACTTTCCCATGGGTTACTTAACTACGATCCAATAGACAATACTACTACAGTATACCGGTACTGCCAGCAACACACAGGGTTCAGCATCTTCATCAGTCGCTGTGGATATACATTGTAAGTAAAGGTTGTAAACAAATTTGTTTCAATAAAAAGTATCTCGTTCCTTTTCAGCAAGACCCGTGAAGATTCCGGGGTAGAATAGGTCTTCAGCAACCCAGGCTTGCCGTAAAAGGTGACCATGCTTCTCGTAAAAGGCGACTAACGGGATCGGGTGGTCAGGCTCGCTGACTTTGTTGATGCATGTCATCGATCTCAATTGCGTGGCTGGATGCTCATGATATTAATCACTGGATTGTCTGGTCCAGACTGGAATATTGCTGAGTGCGGCGTAAAACAACAAACCAAGCAACCAACCAACCTTTTCAGCAACACACGCTCAGATAATAAAATGTAATGTTCCACTTACGTTAATGCAGATGGACCTACGATTGTCGGACTCCCGTTAATACGCAAAGTGAAAGAAAGGACTCGTCTGAGGATAGACTGTAGTACTTACACAACACTGGGCAACCCTTCCACAACAAGCTACGGATGGACATACGGTGGTTCTACTGTCAGCACATGGGCAATACTTCGTACAAGAAGCATCAGAAGGAGTCAGGCAGGACTGTACACCTGTACTGCCAGCAACACCCTGACACCAAGTGGAACGTCTCAACAACAAGGGAGAACATCAGCACAGGTTAATGTGGATGTCCAGTGTGAGTAGCTTGTGATTCGTATATGCATTGTTGCTTCATGTGCATATATATGTGTGCATGCACCGGGCACATGAACCATATACAGTGCGAGGTATAGAATAGAAACCTGATTTCAAAGGCTGAGTTATATTCGAATAGATTCATAAAATGATGTTTAAACTTAAATACACGCAGTTAATGGTTAACGAGCTTTGCTACGATGACAGGGAGTCTGGATTTTTCTTTACAAATTAGAAAATCACTTCACAAAGTCCTTCATTAAATCAATTTCAAACAGATCACGTTCAGTAAACCCTTTGGGCTCTTTACGCCACGGCGCTCAGAAACGACACTGTATATTCATTACATACTTGTAGAGAGCGCGGCCTTTATTATTCTCCTTTCGGAATCGCCCCTCTTTGTTTTTTTCAACAACGATCTGGATATTAGACGTAGTATCCCGAATGCTTCGCTCACTCGCTGGGACCGAGGATTAAGAAGTCTCCACGATGACACCATGGACGACATCACAATTGCAATCACGTATTTGTGTTGATGTGTTGGTGTGCTTGAACTTGCCCGGACTTTCGGTTTTCAGTAGCAATATCACCGAACTATCGGCAACAGAAGCTTCATGTCAGTGTTAACACTATTTTATCATATTAATATAAAGAATTAGTATACTGAAGCACACATGGTCTGACATTGGATAAATATGAGGGAATGGAGACAAATCAATCACCCTGTCCTGTAATGTTGCCATCAAGGGGTTCATGCCAAGGCAACATGTAATGTGATGAGAACCCGAAAAGAAAACTGATTACATTACTTTGGTTATTGCAGACATAGACACACCTCGACTGACTTTTGAGGAGTATGAAGTTCAAGAGAACGATACAGTCACCCTGTCGTGTAATGTTTCCAGCAACCCTATTGTGATAATGACGGTGAGAAGACCTACCCGTGGCACTGTGCTGGTGGCGAAACGCGTCAATTCTCTCTCCCATACCATACAAAGGGCTCGGTGTTTAGATACTGGAACATACACTTGTTCAGCTACAAATACAGCTGGATATCACATCGCTACAAAGAAGCTAAATGTATTATGTGAGTATACATCATAAGGTCATCTTGTACAAACAAGTTCATTGCCAATTGAGGATTCAATTTATCCCGCGACTGTGATTACACTCATACCAATTGCGAAAGGACAGGTTGGGATAAGTGCCCCATCTAGCAGAGGAGTTTGAGGAAGGTTAAATAAGAGCAGCGTTACCATTATCATAAGAAATCTCTACGCAAAGCAGAATCGATTGTTCGACTATATCATAAGCATGTGTTTACGAATCACTATCAAATAGTGATGATATTAGGTGTCTTCGAAAAGGTTTGCCAACCCTGCCCCAAACATATGCAAAGGCAAGTCCATTGTTCACTTAAAAAACAACAACAAAGGAACATAAAATATGGTTAATGTCAAAACAGAACATTCTTCGGACATCATTGTTGTCTCGTGTGCGCCAAATTTGGAAATGTTCTCAACGTGTCTACAATAAAACTGTTTGAAATCTTTACCTTGACTATTGTAACCCTGATCAAACAACTTTTGAGAAAGAGTCGTCTGACGCTCTTTGAAATCTCTGTTGTACCCTTAAAAGTTGTGAGAAACAAGTCCTACATTTCTTTGCCATAGTCCATTTGACTGACAGCAAAATTCTGTTCGTTTTAACAATTGTACATATTTCACAAAATGGAGAGTTTCAACATGAGCAACTTGATCCCAGCTGATATACTTAGGAGATATAATTGAGAATAGTGAAGATATTTGGTGACAATTTCATCTTTGTTCTTAGCCATATCTCTGTATATAATGTTGTTAATAGATATTTTACAAGTCCAAGTTGTCAGTCACTTAACCAACTGAGATAAATTTCATAGATTTCTCCAAAAATGTCAACCGTAGTTGGCCCCAAAGGATCCTTGCAATACCTCATCCTTCATAATGTATCAAGGGGCGGTCGGGTAGCCTAGTGGTTAAAGCGTTCGCTCGTCACGCCGAAGACCCGGGTTCGATTCCCGACATGGGTACAATGTGTGAAGCCCATTTAAGATGTCCCCCGCCGTGATATCGCTGGAATATTGCTAAAAGCGGCGTTAAACCATACTCACTCACTCACTCATAATGTATCAACTTTTACCATTAATGATGATCTAGGGGACTTATGGAGAACTGTTGTTGGCTCCTGCAGGTCCTCCTCGCCACGACTACAGGAAGCAGCTGGACAGTGTGGTGATCAGTAACAGACAACGAGCAGCTTCTCTCGTGGCAGACATCATAGCCAACCCCAGGCCAAGCTTCACCTGGCACAGGTATGATGGGCAGGTGATGTCCTCTGTCAGCGGTGGAGCAGGCGCAGTCACCAGTACAGGCCTACAGTCAGCGTTGCAGATCAACATCACCTCAGATGTCGACTATGGAGACTACACTGTCGATGTGGAAAACAGTGAAGGCAGAGCGAGACTTACATACACTCTATCTGCTGCATGTGAGTTTATATCTTTGCATTGATTTTTGTATGTGTGTCAACAATATTCTAGCTATTTGACGGCGACCTGTAAATAATCGAGTCTGGACCAGAAAATCCAGTGCCAGCCATCGGGGCATGTTGACACGCCATCAACTTAGTCACCTGACCATCCGAACCATTAAGTCGGAACTTACGACCATTATAGGGATCAATTCTAACTCGGAATCCTCACGATTATCCTTTATTTGCAACAGAATATTCATAAAAATCGCCAAATACATGTATGCTTTGATCTAGTAAATGTCTTATCTTTGTATAGCTACAATTCGACGCTCAGGGGCCGACCATTTTATATTCCGGGGCATGGGGGCGGGATCTCTTCCCGTAATGCTCAGTTATGTTCTTTGGTTTTTACATTAAAAAAGTTTCCATGGACATGCTAGTCGCTACGAGAAATAATGTCTTCTGGGTCGAAAATGCGTTATTAATTGTCTTCGAGCAATGACCGACGACATTGTCTGTCTAAAACAAACTTCCCAGAGACACCCCTACCCACTCCTCCCCAAACCCAGGGTGTTATAAATGGGCTTTCTTGTTTTAAAAATTCGTTACAAAAGCACCACCACACGTCACCTGCGTACTTCGCTTATGGATAAAGAAAATATAATATCTTACACACAAAACTGTAATACATGTGAAAATACATATCATTATCTCATGGAATGTCCATTGTTTAGTCATCAGCGTGAAATTATGTTAAACAGCCTTAAAAATATTGTTCATAACATACCTGTTGATGTACACTTACTGATATACGGCAATGCAGATCACGTTGTTACAGAAAATGAAACTATATTTAAGGCAGTACAGCATTATATATGTACAACTAAAAGATTTGAGTAAAAAACTGTTCATTCAACAATGTATCTCTCTCAGGGAGAGGGCATTCTTAGTTGGAAGAACTTGTCCCCCAATCCCGTTCACTCCTTGTGAATAAATATGTTTGAATAAAAAAATCAATAAATGGGCAGTCCCTGACACAAGTACCTGCACACCCAATAGCATACATACCACTTCACCTTTGACATGGATATGAATACTATTAGTTTCTTTCCATGATGTGAGTATATGTTGATTTTGCACGTATCAGGCAACGTTTTTATGATATAATGTTCATACCTTCTATCCGCCTCAATATAAAAAATAGAGGATAATTTAGACAGGAAATTCTTTTTTACCATTGAAAGGGATATTTGACTTAGATTGTAGTGATTTTCACTTTTATTGCTCATATGGTAATATGGTAAGACAAAAGACAACCGAGAATACCTGTAAGATTGCTGATGCGGCGTTAAACAGTTATCACTCACTCACTCAATGACATATCTGATTATCCCTATCAAAGGCTGAGTAGTATATATAGCACTGTTTACAGTGTACTGAGTCGATGCAATGTTTCGTTACATTCACCAAAAACTGTTTTCGTTTATTCATTGATACATGTATACATTTATACATCTATACATTGAAAAAGATACCAAGAACCCAACTACTTATAATTTGTACAGTTGAAATGAACACTTTCTGTCCACCACATCAATACGACAGCATGGAACGACGTCATATCCAGGATAAAAAGGTTTTCATTGTTGTCTGTATTGTGTTCACAGCACCACCCTCTGCACCTTCACAAGTCCAAGCGTCAGCAGTAGGTGACACATCGGTGTCACTGCAGTGGGTCTCAGGCTACAATGGTGGGGCAAACCAAACATTCACGATGCTGTACAAGTCAGATCTACACTACCATTGGGCAATATGGAGAGATGACATCACAGACCCAGGAAGAGGAACACAGGTCAAGGAAGCCATCCTTTTGCTGACACCGACCTTGGCCTACCAGTTCCATCTATACGGCGTCAATGTCTACGGTGAAGGGGAAGGCGTCACCATAAATACAACTACATTATGTATGTAATGTTAAAACCTTCAAGTTCTAAGATAGGGCAGTGGGATAGTCACGCTGAAAACTTTGGGGCGATTAACTCTTCAAGTTCTATGGTCTGTTATTTTTGGGAGGGTCATTGGGATAGTCTGGTTTAAGTGTTGGCTCGTCACGCTGAAGACCCGGATTCGATTAACTCTTCAAGTTCTACCGAGGGGCAGTGGGGTAGTCTGGTGGTTAAAGGGATGGTTCGTCATGCTGAAGACCTGGTTTCGATTGTCAAAAAGGGTACAATGTGTGAAGCCATTTCTGGTTTCCCCGCCACGATATTAATGGAATATTGCTGCAAGCGGTGCAAACACCCATTTCAGCCAAGTTCAGTTATCAATATTTATGAATATGTCACAAGTACAGATCTAAACTCTATTGGTACACTTGTATATCTGAGTGATTAATAGACGTTTGTCAGGTATGTTCAACGTGTAATGTATTGATGGACCACGTGCTAGTACTTAGATGAGTGGTAACTGTCAGTAACAGGTACTGCCACTGAATTGATAGAGGTGGTATAAACTGTTTTATTATTCATTCGTTGGAGATATCACTGTTTAATAAACACACGGCTGTATTACATTGTGTATTAGTCACGTGCGGGCGGGATTATTCTTGGTCATCAGCTGATCATTCAAATTGAGGCGTCGGTATCACATTGCAACCAGACGGATAATCTACTCTTGATTGAATGTTGTATTTTTCAACATAGAATTGAGATAATGTGGAAAGTTTAAGTGACTAGCAACATAATTACTGTACTCTTCTATCGCTTGATAGTAAACTGATTGATACGTTCTGGACCTCACATAGAAGGAATTGTGTAATAATGAAATCTTTTGTTATGGACAGTACATGATATCACAGAAGCATATCCACAAAATCTTGATTCAACTGAGCAATCAGATTTACTGTGACAATTCAGTAAAATAAGTAGGGGTCTGTGACCTTTGGAACATAGAAAAACTTGGGGAACGTTCAGTGATCAGGTACTTGCAAAAAAAGGCTTTAACATCACTAACCAGCCACAGGGCAGGGGGAAGCCTTGTGATTAAAGCGTTGGCTCGTCAAGGCGAAGGCCCAGGTTCGATTCCCCACTTTGGTATAAAGTGTGAAGCCCATTTCTGGTGTTCCCCGCCATGATGTTACCTGACTATTGCTATAACGACGTAAAACCTCACTCACGTTCTTTCTTACTCATCCTGGGTGGCCTTCTAGCTTTGGAGCTGATCAAGAAAGATTTTGTGCAACGATTTATCAGTGGGTTCACCACTTCAAAACAGTGATGGTATTTGACATAACCACTACCACCAAAGACTGTCCCATCTATTTCAAAGGTTATGGCCTCCTTTTTCTGGGATGCTGAGGGTGACACCATGGTGGACCATCTTCCAAAATGCCAGACATTAAACGGAGTATATTATGCTGCACATTTGAAGCAATTATAGGATGAGACATGGGAAGTTGGGAAAAGGTGTGCTGTTCCATCAGGACAAAGCTTCCGTGCATAAATCAGTCATTCCCAATGGTTACAATCCACGAGTATGCCTTTGAACTCATTCACCACCATCAGCACTCATCTGGCTCCGTCCGACTTGCTTCCATCTGTTCCCAAACATGAAGAAAGCTCTAGCCAGAACCAATTTCGACTTGAAAGATGACATCATATTAGATCTGGAGAACGTTTTGGACAGCCAAGAGAAGGACTTCTAGGACACCACACTAAAATCCTTCCAACATCGTTTGCAAAAAAGTATCAATGTGGAACAGGATTATGTAGAAAAATAAATCATGTTTAGGTCACTTATTTCGATGTGAGGCTCAGAACATATTAATCACCCCTCGTAAATTTTGAAACGCACTCATAATAGAATGGTATGTAATGGGGCCTTTAGTAATCTATATTTTTATTAATGGATGAACTATAGAACTAAATGGTTCTGTTCTTAAGGTAATCCTCTCCTTTGTTAAATATAGTTACATATATTTCAACAGAACTAACACATTGCGATGTCGGTGTCAGTAATGGTCAACAAATAAGGATCTTATGGTTTCAACGGATGACATGGTTCATTATCTGTTATGGCACCCTGACAGCATAGATCACTTTTTGTGCTGTCAACCACTGGTATACCCTGCTTGGCTCCATTATTCAATAGTCACCATGTAATTGATGTAATATTGCTGACTTCAGCCTAATACGACATTCAATAATGCACTGGACACAGCAGCACCAGAACATTTGCTCCCAATTTCATGTTTTAGCATCCGGTAAATATGAATTAGCAGTTGGCCTTGGAACTTCAAATGGAGCCTTCATGGTCATCACCATTCTGGTCATTGGTTACTTCGTACGAAGACGGACTTCAGGTACTTCAATACTTTGTTTCATATTCTCAAAAAACTACTGAATGTCAATAAAACTGACAGTACCTGTATCTACATGAAAAGGAGACTTTCCCCCTTATAACCAGTTAGAAACACACGTGACGATTCACCGTATCCCAGTTATGTGGATCGATGTACATGATGGCAATCAAAGGATTATCTGTTCAAGACTCGATTATTTACAGACTGCCGTCATGAAGCAAGAATGTTAATATGTGGTGTCAAACGGCAAAGAAAGCAAATCTCTATGAAAGGCAAGATATCCAATCCCTTCCGACGTCAAGAAAATCTCCACCTTTGATCCTTTTCATGAGATTTCACAATGCCAAGTCTGAGGTACTCCATGTGGCACTAATGGCGACATGATTAACAGAACTACCATGTCAGGGCCATCCCCATAGTGACCGACCTGGTGACAACATCTTAAGTATTTTCTAAATGTTGATTAACCAATGTGTTTTACTTATTTTAATTTACTTTTCATAGGAAAAGGTGAGATCACCAACACACATGCTGACGGAGCATGTGACAATATGTACACAGATCCAGTTGTACAGATGCATTGTCAGGTTACTGGTAAGATATTTTCGTCACCCATTTCCATGTGTACTTGTAACCAGAGAGAGATGTAATCGTGTTTGAAATACCTCTTGATTCCAAAACCTGTAGAGATGTCCAGTCCTCTTTTGTATCTGGTTCTAATCTCCATAGTGCATAGTGCATATTAACCATTATCCTTGATACAATCTAGGAAACCAAACGTGATGCCCATTTCTAACCAACCCCCCCCCCCCCCCCCCCCCCTCTAAGATTTTGCTTGGAAATTGCTAAAAGCAGCATAAAAACACACTCATTTACTCAAAATCAAAACAACGGAATATGGAAAAGGTTTTATCTGGTATCGTCCAATCATTATCAAATGGCCAGCTGGTTTTTATAGGGGCTGAGATTGTTTTCTTCTTAAAAGAGAGCTGAATTTTATGTATGGAACATTTGATATTCAAAATGGACCAAATGTTAAATTGTTCTCACTGTTCACTAAAATATAATAACTGTTCAGATGTGTTATTTTAAAACAGCACAATGAAAATAGCACTAATGGTTAGAGGGAATATGCTGAATGTTTGGTGTATACATTAAACAGAAAAAAGGAGCTATAATTTCCGTGCACTTTGGAAACATATTGAAACAATTAGGTATTTGAATAAATGAAGTTTTAAAGAAACCTATTGAAGTAGTTTGCACTATAACAATACCCCTGAACGTCGTGGAACTTTTGCCCTCAAAAGCGTTTTAAAAAAAGTGACAATATTGAAAGCACAAGTATACAGTAAAATGCATTTCCCCAATCACAAAGATCAGTACTCACATCATCACAAAATAATAACAGGTGACGCACAAGCAAAACGCAGCCATTAGGAAAGAAAGTTCCAGACAGGTGCAAGAAATGTTAAACCGATATCATTCAGCCCAGTTCTTCTGAATGGCACTCTCCCGTTGTCATGATTAAAAAACAGGATAGCTCCCGTAGATCATAGACGCCTTAATGCATTTACCAAGCGTATATTTCCCTTCTACCACGTTTTGAAAATGTTTTGATGAGGATGGCCATATTGCAGTCAAGACTTTTAATTGAGGCTGAGTTGTTTTTTTCCAGCAGATGAAGTTTTATATTGACATCACCCCCAACTTTTAATTGAGGCTGAGTTTTTTTTCCAGCAGATGGAGTTTTATATTTACATCACCCCAAGACATAAACGTGCTGTTCCCTTTTGGCAAACAAATCTAAAAATATTATGCCATTTTATGGTCATATTTACAGGGAGACAATTAACTATTTATCATGTCAGCGATTATGTTTTATTTGCCACTTTTTAACATTTGCAGAATTGGAGTGTGTATATGAACCAGTTGAAACAGAGAGAATGCAATCGGCGGAGGCTGCAGAAGAAGAGTTGTATTGCAACACAGCTGAACCGTTCAAAGGTGACTCATGCCCCTGTGTCATGTATTAATGCGATCACGAGAATCGACAGAATATTCATCGATTTGATACTAAAATGGAGTTCGTGGATTTATTTCACTTCAACCAATAATGTGTATTTGTGGGTTTGAACTTATTTATGAACTTCTTCATGAAACGCAATCACTCACGTGTGGCTGATATTAAGTCTTTTTTCAAGATGTATATTCGGGATACATGATTGCTCCAAATACTCTCAGTAAAGAGCCCATGGGGATTCTGGTTAACAATATACGTCCCCACAAACAAAAACTTTTGACAGGCGACTGAACGAATCGAGTGGTAAGACTCGGTGACTTACTTGATTACATGTCATCGTATCTGAATTCCGTGTATCAATGCTCATGATGTCCATCTCTGGATTGTCTGGCTCAGACTCGATTGTTTTTACAGATCGAGATCATATATCTGGAATATATGTCAAACATGCTCCAAATAGTAATTATACAGTGTGTTTCGCTTTTTCAATTATTTTCAAATTTATTTTTCTTGTGAAAGGTGAGAAAACCAAAACACATTCTGACAAAGTATGTAACAGTGGGTACACAGATCGAGCTACACATCATCAGGTTTCTGGTAAGATTGTTTTCATCACCCACTGACATGTGTCTTTGGCAAAACCAGAGAGAGATGTAATAGTGTTTGAAAAAGTAAGAAATACCCTTTGTAATATGTAAAGGACCCGTGAAGATCCGGGGTAGAATAACTCTTCAGCAACCCATGCTTGCTGTGAAAGGCGACTATGATTGTCGTAAGCTTAGGAGGCGACTAACGGGATCGGGTGATCAGGCTCGCTTACTTGGTTGATGCATGTTATCGGTCCCAATTGCGTCGATCGTCTGGATTGTCTGGTCCAGACTCGATTATTTACAGACCGCCGTTATATAGCTGGAATATTGAGTGCGGCGTTAAATAACAAAACAAACAACCATATAATATGTAACGGAAGCCTCAAGATGAAAGCTGAACGAATCGATGAGTGGTTGAGTGCTAATAAGGCCGGTTTCAACGGATATTCAGTTATAACACTGCGCGCAAGCTTAATTTTGGAAGTAGTTTAAAAAGTAGGTGTTCGCAAATAAACGATAATAGTTATAATTTTGACCACGTTATATTTGTCTCTTTTTAACATTTGCAGAATTGGAGCGTGTCTATGTCCAATTTGAAATGGGGAGAATGCAATCGGCGGAGGATGCAGAAGAAGAGGTCTATTGCAACACAGCTGAACTGAACAATGGTAACTATATTATTATAGAATGGATATCTGTATCTATGCAATGATGTTATCACCAAACTACTTTTGATACATTCCTCATTGCGATGCACACGTGATGAATACAATAACGCCTCCCAATAGGTTTTCGGTCAACAATGGCTACATGTAAAATAAACAACGTGGTGCCACCAGAGTTGATGACCGTTGGGTAATCCCTGCATGCAGCTGGTAATAATATACGTTGTTGGCTAAGTTTTTATGCTGGCAATCGCCCTGCAAATGTACTCACTCAAGACCCTAAGAACACACTCGTAGCCATACATACATTATCATGGGCTGGGTTATGAAATTCGTGTAGTGGATCTTCAAATCAAATGTCAGTTTTCAGGAAGAGTGCACGCTTTATTTACGGTGACACTATCAATATAACGTTAATCAAGTTACAATACCTCGTCTTAAGTGCAGGCTTACAGGACTTCGGTTCTGATAGCGATCTTAAATGTAGTTTTCACCCTTCTGACAGACGTTGACTATTGCAAGCTGGGACACTAGCAGTGTCTCGAAAATGTGTTGCGCTGTTCAGTTAAAGTACTGAATGCAATTCTTATCATATGGTACATGTACATGCTATGATTTTGTAAGGTAAACAATAATAATAAATTCGTTTTCCGCTGCTGGCTGATCAAATCCTTACCAAACAAATATGGCTGTTTACTGCAGTGAAACGTAAAAATAATGTATTCATATGAAGTTTCACACAGCAACTCCTGTCAGTGTAAATACGACTTTGAATTAAAATATTCTAAGTGTAATGATGAGATAGTATGACATGATATGCCAAAGAGATAATTTTACTTCGTGCCTTTCCGTTCCATAAATATCACACAGAAGGACTAAAACCACAAAGAGACTCGCGAAGTACCATTTGTTAAAGATATTTACTTTTTTTCTTCTTTTCTTTACAGAATCCCTTTACATGAACACACTGTGAAGAAAAACATACAACCGACAGAATACTGATCATAGGGGATGCTGATTTCATCAGATTTATTTTGCATGAACTTCTAAAAAAGATATTCTATGTGCTTTTATATATTCACCTTCTTATGTAGCTGTTGATACTATGTCATTTAGAAGATATATAGTTACAGATGTTGAAATATACGACCTTATAATGGCGATGTTTTATGCTTTACTCATATCTACGGCACATTCAATGGCATTCGGCAGGCACTTTGTCCTGATGTGAGTACTGTGTACAAGACATTATGAAGGACAATGCACGCACCACAAAAACACAACATCTGAACCAAAAAACGTGAAAATATATCACTATAACAGTCTTGAGATTGTAACTCCTGGACACATCCTGGGTGAACTCAGGCTACATAACGTCCTGCTTGACTGCACCACTGCACAACACCTTCCTGGGCTACTGCTCCACATTGCCTCCCAGGCCAGTGTACTGCTGCAACACTTGGTTTCCGGGTGTTGATGAAGGAGATAGGTATTATGTGTTTCCGGATTTGCCGGTGTTATTGAGTATTCAATGCCTGGATGACTGAGTATTCCATCTTGTCACTGCTTCTGTAGATCGGTAAATCTTTATCTAGAAGAATGGCTGTTCGGCTAAATACTTGGTTGTTAATTTCAATGATACTGATATGTTTTACTTCCTGTTTCTAATACAACTGAGTTTGAAGGCTATCAGCATGAAGGGTGTCAATGTTTGCGTTCGAGGTTACTGAACAATGCTCCTATGCAGTAGTCACGAAATCAGTATTTCAAAGCTCGAAAGACAGAGCCATGTATGGTTCTGGACAATTCAATCGGGTGCGTGAGGGTTCTCGAGTTGCCCGGACAAAGTACCCGGAAAAACCAGTGGGTCAAAGTGAAAGTTGTAGTGGCAGTCAGTAAAGTTATACTCATAACCAAAACCTCGTGGATTGTGGTCTGATTTATCATACTGGGATATTTTAAAAGCACAACCTACAAAATTCCCTCAACAGTGGCCTCTTCAGTGCTAAATAAAGATTGAAAATACATCAGTCAATCAAAGATGAAGGTAACTTTATACATCAGAGTTCTTGAGAATTAGTTCATGTTTTGTTCTTAGACTAACATTTCAACCATCGATTGTGTTCACATGTAGACTCAAACTGGTATATTAAAAAAATGTATACCGACAACAACAACTGTATTAGAAACAACAAACTCGGTAGAGACTCTTGTCTCCCATCCTTTGTTTGGTATGATTATGTCTTATAATTATTTTAGGATGGAAGGTACAGTTACCAAATAAAATATTCTGAAATATCAAATCATTATGACCATATTTCATAATCTATTTTTTAAAGTAATCCTCCTTACATTAAAGAGAACTATTTAAAGAATATAGTACTTAAAGACATTGCAACAAACCGAATAATCAGGGGGGAGACTTTATACTGAGGGGGGGGGGCGAAATATATCCGCCCGGGGGAGATTTTATTTCAGTACCGGTATAAAATCTCCGGGGGGAGAATTTGTACGGGGGAGAGTTTATACCGGGACACCGGCACTATGTGCACATCATTGTGTAGCAGTTTAATTATTTTATTATTCTCACTGATCATTGTACTCGATAAGATCATAAATGTATGTAATATATCTGAGCATGTTCAATAAAAGTGATAAAACCATTTTCATATTCATTAGAAATCTCTTTCAAAGTCAGAATGAATTGTTCGATTCCGACTATATCATGAGCAATTGTTTATGAATCACTATCAAATAGTGATGATACCAGGTGTTCGCGAAAAGGTTAGACACGTTTACTTCTCATTCCAATATCATATCCTAAGTATATACTTACAACGATATTATCCAACATCTTGTTACGTCCGCTGCGCCCATCCGTCTACTCTTCAGCTTCCGTTGCTTTGTTTGTTGTTTTACGCCACACTCAGCAATTTTCCAATTATATGACGGCGGTCTAAATAATCGAGTCGGGACCAGACAATCCAGTGATTGATGTCATGATCACCGATCCATGCACTTGGGATCGATGACATGCTTCAACCAAGTCAGCGAGCCTGACTACCCGATCCCGTTAGTCGCTTCTTACAACAAGCAAACTCGCCTTTTACGGCAAGCATGGGTTGCTCAAGACCTATTCTACCCCGGAACGTCAGCTTCCGGTGGCGAGCGGGTAGCCTAGTGGTTAAAGCGTTCGCTCGTCACGCCGAAGACCCGGGTTCGATTCCCGACATAGGTTCAATGTGTGAAGCCCATTTCTGGTGTCCCCCACCGTGACATTGCTGGATTAATGCTAAAAACGGCGTAAAACCATACTCACTCATTCACTTCAGCTTCCGTCCAATAGATTGGAAAGTCAAATACTGCCGATACCATTGTCAACTTGTAAATCAGGAATATAATTATCCGGTAAAATTATGTATTTGGTGATTTGAATCGCAAAAGTAAGAGCATATTTCTGTATTTGCCTTTCTCGATGTGTGCAAATCTCTTGCATGCATCGTTAAACATTTTATTCCATTGCATTGTGACGATGCTCGTCTGAGAATATTATGACAACTGACATTTGACAGATCACAGAAACCAGGACAGCAATGTGTCAATTCCTGAGCCAACTTTCTCAAAAGGCTCCCATTGCTTCACGAGGCGCAATTTGAATTCCTGTACGACTCTTCGGTCTTTGCATCTCCAACTGGAACATGATGCCCCTAGTCTTTCAAGGTGATCATGTAATACCAAACGGATGCATGTTTCGTCATATGCGGACTTCTCACACAGCTAAAGGGAACTGCCACATATGTATCCATTTATCGTTCTGGTGCGGCAGTTTCTGTTGTAGCGTCTTCGCTACCATCTTCTGCTCTGTCCACTGACCTCCGTCTTGCGCTCACATCCTCGACAGCCTCAATAGGTTGTACCGTTGTTTTTATAGTCTAAGTCATAAGGACCTACCAGTAGAAGGGCTTTAAGCAACAAACAAACAAACCAGCCAACCAGCTCAATGTGGTGGACGTTGAACATGATGAGGGGAAACCAGAGATTCGAATCTGGTATCATTGGATCCTGGTACGACTAAGAGACTCACTCACTACGCAGGACATTGCTGCACCTGAGGCAACTCCGCCGCCTGTGTCTCCCACTAAGATAGCACTAAATCCTTATTGTTTATTACTCGTGGTGAGGAGCTCTTAGAGTGGCCGTTTTATACACACGAGGAACAGATTCGTCACAGTGACGACATCATCAGCAACTGCCCTTGGACATTATATTAGTCGACGAACTGTATGAAGAGTCTAAGACAACGTACAGTCTCAGACCGTACAGCAGAATAGCCTTGACGTCTCTACATCTACGTCAAAGATTGAGGTGGGCAGGGGCCGTCAGCCAATTACAGAACAGAAACTGGAAACGGGTACTCTGACGAAAGTCGATTCCAGGTCTTCAGTCCTGAACGGAGTTCGTATTCACGGTCACTGGGGCGAGCGAACTGCACGTTATTGCATTCGGGAGGTGCCATTCGGTGGTGGTAGCGTCATGGTTAGGTGCTGTATGTGAGGACAACAGAAGCCGGGTCTTGAAGTCTCACGACACAAGGCGACATGAATTAGGTAATTCGACCAGTCGTTGTGTACCTGCTACAGAACCATCGGACTATATTCCAGACCACACATACCTCGAATCAACATGAACCTTCTCAATGACAACAATGTGAACGTTTGACATGTCTCCAATTGAACATGAAACGGTTACTAGATGCATTGTTAAAAACAGTAAACTACGTTTATAACGAACACGCTTATAACAAACTGTATTTTGGCCCCGTCCATTTGCTGTATATGCTGACATTTTGAGAGCTCCGACAAAAGTTAAGAAAATTGTGTGTTTCAACCGAAATATTTGCTTTAGGCGAGACATATCCTGCATGACCATTCTCCAGGGACAATTCCCATAACGCTCAGCGAATATTTGAAACTTTTAACGTTGCAACTGCCATATTTTCAACTCTGTGTGTGAGTGAGCGAGAACCGTTACAAATATTCCCGCCATGTCGACAACTAGTGTTGAGCTAACATCAGACTCTGAGACTCTCTCCAGAAAAAGAGAGTTGGAGGAGAAAAGTGACTTTGGTGACGATAATATGGATACGCCGTGTACAAAACGGTTAAAACATACATCGGAGGAAAACAGTGGAAATGATGTGAGTAAACAAAATGATGTAAATAACTCTGTCCTTCTGTTTGCTATTCGCGAGGTTGGTGATAGTTTGGGTGCCAGAATTAGTTTCCTAGAAAACACTTTATCCGATAAAATTAGAGAAGTTGTTCTTGAAGAAATGCAGAAACTGAGGGATGAGTTCGAGGATAAAGTGCGACATATCTCCGAGAAACTTCAACATCTCGATTAGAAACAAGTAGCAGACGACGCACATCTGAGGGACAAGGTTCAGGTTTTAGAAAAAACCTATGCTTCAGCTACTGCCACTAACTGTGATAATGTGATCGTTATAAAAAATCTACCACTTCAAGCTAATGAAGAAAAGAACACGACCATCACAGAAAACAAAGTATCTGCACTCTTCAAAGATGGTCTTAAATTAGGGGACATCTCTGTTACTGGTGTGGAGCGAAAGAAAAGCGCCAGTAAAAGACCAGGCATAGTGTTTGTGCGGGTCAGCAATGCTGAGCAGAAATCAAGAATAATGAAAAATAAGTCAAAGTTAAAGCAACACAAGCGACACGAAAATATCTACATTGAGAACAACATGTCTCCTGTCGAGTTGAAGACACAGTCTAGTCTTTTGACCCTTGTAAAAAAACTAGATAAACAAGACAAATTCTATGTTAAAGGCAGTAGTATTTTTAAAAGGAAGATACAGAATTAGGATTTGCGACTGTGCCATTGGAATTGTGCTGGTTGGTCCACAAAAAGTAACGAAAACTCTATTTTCAAAGTAAAGCTTATCAAGGCTAGTGAATATGATATCATTTCCCTCTGTGAAACATTTTTACGCGATGGTGAACAACTACAAGTTGAGGGTTATAAATGGTTCGGTCATAATAGAAAACAAGTCGGCAAGAAAGCTAAACGGGGCTCAGGAGGCGTAGGATTCCTTATCACGAACTGCTTAACAAATGTGTTCAAAATCTCAGTTTTAGATGATACAATTGAAGATATTTTATGGCTAAAATTAGAAGCCCGTGACATCACCCTCTGTGCATGTGCGTGCTATCTTCCACCTGCAGGATCATCTCGTGCAAGGGACCCGGATCTGTTCTTCAGTGACTTGCTACACCAGGTGTACACATATCAGAATGAAGGTATCTCGTGTGTGTGTGGCGATTTCAATGCTAGATGTGGAATTCAATGGATTACATTGAGGGAGTGGACAAAATACATCCCAGGTCAGTCATTGATTGCAATGAGAATAGCTATGGAGCTATGTTTATCGACTTCCTTTGTGATGTCAACTTCTGTATGTTGAACGGGAGGGTTGGTGACAGTAACGACTTTACGTATGTGTGTACTACAGGGCGATCGGTCGTTGACTATGTTGTGGTACCGCACGAGCACATTTGTCACTTCCCAGATTTCAAAGTTAAACCTATGTCAATAGAGGTTATCACGCGAGTGTGTTTGGGGATGGTAAATATCCTGCATTAGGAATAAACATTGTATTTAGCGAGCCTTGGCGAGCTAAATACATAGTGTTTATTCCTAATACAGGATATTTACCATCCCCAAACACACAAGCGTGATAACCTCTTTATCATATAATGTCATTCTTTAATTCTGTGCTTCAAAATCGCTTTCCCTCTCTAACAAACATTACCGAAACATTGCGAGTTTTCCTGGAATGCGCGTATTAATATTTATTACGTCACAGGGTAAGTGATGTGTCAGTCGGACAGTGACAGTAGCCAATATAGTTCCAACTGAAATCTGTTTCTTATACAGTGGCGAAGCAACATATACGCAAAACAACAATTGTTTTTAATTGCCTTTCGCGGCAATCCATCGGTCTGTCCGCTAGAGTAACTGCCCTTTGTCAAAGGGAAGCTACTCTAACCCTAGTCTATGAGACGTCACGGCCACGGTCAGACGTTGTTGACAGTCGGTCTGTCCTGTCATTACAATAAGAAGTGTAGTCAGATGTACACACAGCGACAAAACGAAACAAGGTAACAATTCAAACATATTTCCGCCAAATCCAACTATTTTAATTTGTGGAGGAGGTTTCAAGCCGCAGAGGTCTACAAGCACAGATATGGCTACTGATCCCGCTTGGCTAGGCCTCGTGCCCTCGCCAAATTGTTTCGAAATTTATATCTCCAAAGTTGACAAAACTT